GCCAGCGCGCCGCCGTCTTAGATGACACTTATAGGCTTTGCTCGACGTCGTTGGGCTTATTACCTCAAAGGGGAATCAAGTGGCGTTTCACTCATCTTCAAATACAGCAGCCTGGCTATATTGGATTTCAAATAGGTGGGGGATTAGGTTGGGGTTTTCGAAAGTATGTGCTTCCAGCCAAAAAGAAAATATAAAGAATACATGTATCCCTTTACCAATTTTGGTTGGTTTAAAGCTGAAAGGTAAAGGGATAATTAAACTGGGAACTCGTGCAGAAAATGAGAACCTTGAAATATATAAGCTTATAATATATAAAGATTAAATATACGGGTATATTTAAAATAAATCATAAATCACACCTAAAGCATCTATTATTTAAAAGGGAAGTTACGTAGTCAATTCAGGACTTATGCAGGACTTAAAGATATCTGGACTCCAATCAAATTCCCTTACTAATTCATCAAAGACCGGAGACTTATATTTTTAGGGTTTCAGCAAATTAGAAAGAAAATTGCTTCAATTTATAAGCACTTATGCCACGTCACAGTTTTGTCAACTACTACTGAGGAGAGCAAAAGGCCCACTTCTGATGCGTAGAAAAAGGATTCCCTTTGGGGAGATTGTACGGCTGCTCCTCCATATTTTCTTTTCTGATGACTCATCGAAATTATGGGCGGGCAGCTCGAGCTGTCGCCATATCAACAGGTTGGTCTCCACGCGCGGCCCAACTCAAGACGGATGACGAAATTGGGGACTGAATGAGGCCTCGAGTTTGGGCATTTGCGTCATCATTGGGTGTGGGAAAAGGGCGTGGGACACTGTCGTAATAATCTGCAGTGCTCTGGAATTGTGAGTCCCCAGGAATCGAGTAAACAGATAAAACGGTCTGGCCTTCGTCGATGTCTGCCTTGTGTCGCGGCAGACATTTATGCAAATGGGCATCTTCGCCCTATGAATAGCGCAGAGACACAGCATTTTCTGAGGACAATACATTCAATTACCAAGGACTGCGCCACCATGAACAGCCGCAGCCTTGCCTTGGTTCCTTGTTTGCTCTTCCCGCCGGCTGTCAAAGGCATAAATGACTTTTGTCCTGCTGCTGCACTGAGATTGCGGCTGCTTAAAGTCCTTGCTGTTAACACCAATTACAAGACACAACACGACAGGATGGAGGTGGAGGGAACAGGGAACAGAAGGCGAGTACAGATTCCCCCCAAGAAACCGGGTAGCCAAACCAGCCCTCTGCCTGCCAGCAAGTTTCAACTCAATTTATGAAAACTCCAACCCTAGAGAAGGACCCATTTTCGCCTTCCTGGCGTCAATGGTCTATGCGTAAATTGCACGCCAAGAAACGGAATCTTGGGCTGATAAGGGATCAGGCGAATAAACTGGAGCAAATTGATGCCAGACCAACTGGCGGCAGACAGCCGATAAGTCGCCTAATGTTGGCCTGCAATATTTATGGCATATTCGAAGGCTTTCCATCGAGATCCAGGCTTAGTACTTGAAGTCTGTTAAGTTGCCCGACATTGAATGGTATTTTTCGGGTGGTATTACACCCCATCGATTGTTATTAAGAATCTTGTTCTCGTTCAATGTTTGATAATAAATATGTATCTGTAATCAATCCTTCTTTGCTGATTAATAAATAATCACGACTAAGAAATGTCCTTAATGATTTATATTTATTTATTTTGTATAAAATATAATATGACTTTACCCCAAAAACACAAAGCACTTCTCCGTATAATGCTACCTTAAAGTCAATCCGCAAACGGACCCAACAACCCGAGGAAAATCCTATAGATTTCCACTCATGTTACGAAGACTGTTTTCCGTTTCTGGTTTACTGGAAGCCCCAGGCGCCGACTGTGCTCGTAAATGCTTTGGTCATTAGCCATGGCGTGAAAACCAATAAACGCGACGGGCCCATCCTATTGAGGGAAAGCCAAAGCAAAACGAACCGCAAAAGACAAGCTCGCAAAAATTGCAATCAAATCAAAAACTACAAAACAAAAGCAAAATGCCTTTATGATATGGCCATAAAAGCAGACCAGGCTGTCCCAACAATGGGCCAATTTGCGGCGCCCAATAAAAATAATAAAAATATTGCAACTTTTATTAAAGCCAACCATTTTGGCCACACACTTCTGTGTAAGCTCTTTAGTCACTTGTTTGTCTGTTTACGTTTTGCCCTCTCGCATTCTTTTTTTTCTGGTGTGGCACGTTTATGAGTTATTATCGGGACAGTGAGTGCCGTTCAATGTGCTTGTGGTTTGATGTCCGGCGCCACGCCCACTCCTCCACTCCCCAGCATAGCTAACATTGCCGAGCGGGGAGGCTTTAATAACAAACCCTTGATTTATCGTGCCTTTAATGTGGTTTTTGTCTCGTTGTCTGTCTGCCGGGTGCGTTTCTCGCCGCCTCGTATTATTATTGTTATTGATGATTGGAACCCACTCCCTCTATCCCTGTGGTCAGTCGGTTGTGACAGGTGTAAAGGCATTTCAAAGCGTTGATGGGCACAGAGTCCCGCTGGGCTTCATAAATCATTCGTTCGGGGGCTGTCAACCAAAAATGTGGGATTATTATTAAACGTAATCCAATATCCCTTCCTTATAGCATTTCGTTGGACTTTATATTGCGAGAAACTTTTTAATATACATATTCAATAAATCGAAAAGCAATCCAGTTCTTTGCCCCAATGTAATGACCTTCCCAAACTGCTTTTCCAATGAATTTCCCTCGTAAATGTGTAATCCACATATTAAATATGAAAGCTTCCTGCCATTTAATTCAGTTCTCGGCCTTACTTTTCACACTTCAGAGCGCCTGCATTCGTATAACTTTGCACATCGCACATCGCACATACGCCCCATTGCCCATTACGCATTCGCCCAGTGGTAATCATTTCTGTAAACTGTTTTCGATCCCCGCCTCCTTGCGGTCATCCCGACATCCCCACATGGCCATCATTCCAAGCACGTATGTAGGAGGAGAAAGACCTTTTCGTCCCTTGTGCTGGGCCCAGGCCCGTTGCCATTCAGGGAGCGGGATACAAATGGCCGACCGAGCGACAACTTGACTTGACTCGTCTGTCAGGCGGCAAAAACAAATGGAAGAGCGTCAAAGCCGCAGAGAATCTATTTATATGCTGCCCCAGGCGGTGGATTTCGATGTGTAAATGCGGAGTCACCGATGGTTGGACGGATAGATGGGTGGATGGATCGCGTTTATGGGAAGCATATTCCGGCGCATTGTCTGCATCTGCGGTGCGTCTTCGCCTTGATTAATCGACAGGCGGCCATTGGATTTTTGCAGTGCTAGCAAAACAGGAATCTCAGTCAAGTGAGCCAGCATAATTCCACGTGGCCGTTGCGTTCCTAAGTTTCCTCCTCTAATTGGCAGAAACTTTCTTGTGGCAACTAGCAGCACCCACACACGCGTACGCATCATCAGTATCTCAGCTGGGAGACGCACGGATGGGCAAAGCAAATCCCCCCACCTCGGATACCTCCGTGGCTCCGGCTCCTCCTTTGAGTTATGTTGTTGCTTGTGTTGCTAAATGCCAACGATGACGACGAGGGGAGCAGGAGCAGGAACAGGAGGAGGAGCAGGAGCAGAGGCATGGGAATGCGTCACAGGACGATGATGATGATAATGGCCTCGTTGCCATTACTTTGTTTAGCTGCCTGCTGGCGTAGCTTCTCCTAGGTTGTGTGGCTGTTGTTGCTTCCAGCTTGTTGTCTTAATTGATTTAGTTGAAGCTGCACAGAGTTTAATAGTTCCCCATCATTTATGTGGCAACCGAGCACACTCTGCTTGGCGCCCAAGCAGCCACAGCCACAACCAGAGAGAGCCGTCTGCCCTGGGTTCACTTTATTTGGCGGGGCCATTTAATTTTCTCCAGCACTGTGCTACACATTTCAACGCGCTGACAGGGCAAACCGGTTGTGGGACATCTACTACTCCCATCACATGCAATCCAGCCGGGCTATTGAGTCAACGACAACTGAGACCAATGGTCAACCTCCCTCCGGAGCTCGTATTGCCAACTGACGCCTCACAGCCATGAATGGCGTTTTATCTAATCCGCGGCAAAACAGAGCGCCACGGATCGACGCCGGCAGTTGGTGCATTTAAAAAACCATTTTAATTATTTATGAGCAGATTAGGCATTAAGAAATTTCAAGAATCTGGTCTGGATGTTGGATTCAGGGAGACAGAGTCGAGTCACTGGCATAACCGACTCATTGGATGCTCTAAAAAGACTTTGGAAACTAAAAGCTAGAAGTAAATTAATATAAAGATAAATAAAAATGTGTTAAATGTTATTAAAACTTAATAAACTTAATATAGAATGTTAAATTAAAACGGTGTATTGAAATGAACTCCTATTTTAATTTAATTAAATTCCGGAATATGATTATGTAGGTTTTTTTCCTTGGCATTCCTATTTTGGTATAACTAACTTATTTAGCAATACATACCTATTCATATACTCATTTTATTTATAGCACAGCTATAAAGTCATCCAATTACCTTGTAAGTGATATTGATTAATAATAAATAATTGATTTAATTGTTCTTTACCAAATCACGAAGTAACATTAATGGTGTTTCAATGTTTTCAAATTGCTAACACCACCCTTAGACCTTCTTCTGCGAAGTGAAACCTTGACTGACAAGAACTCCATTTATGGATTCATGTAGGACAGTCTGGGCCGTATCAATCAAGAGGCCAAGATCAGGTGTAATTCTAACTGCGTCTTTGGCCGGCTGCTCGGACCTCTGGTGCACATTACACACATTAACACGATCATTGTCTCTCGCAATTGCTGTTGCCGCAATTAGCGTTGGTAGCACTTGATTTATGCAGCTGCCATGCAAAGTGGCAGCAGCTCCCAAGTATAGACAATGCCGCCGATCACAATTAATCAGCGCTCTCGCACTCCTCGCAGTATAAAAGCCGGGCTAGGGCATTGCCAACCAAGTCAGTCCCGCTGTGGATGCAGTCGAGCACGGACTTGAAGGGATTACCTACTCTCTAGGATGCGAACAACAGTGGTAAGTGAGTCCGGACGGAGATTGGATTGAAAGATGCCTCATTTGGATGTTAAACCAACAGTTTCTCTTGCTGGGCCTACTGGCCATCGGTTACTGGGAGCAGGGAGCTGGTCATGTGGTGCCTCTACCATTACCAGCAAGTGGCACCTATCTGCTGTCTCCCCCGAGCACAGTGATCCTCCTTGTGCAGCCTCCACCCCCGGAAGATGATGGATCCTACAAGCCGCCGTCGAGCGCCGAAGATGGCTTGTGGAAGCCTCAGCCTGGCCTGGAGGGCGAATATTCCGAGCCTGACCTAAGCCAGAGTGGCAATGGAAGCGTCACCGGTGTCGCAGAAACTTCCCTGAGCACCGGTAGCTCTGGATCTGCGGTTGCCCAAGGTGCAGAGGCTGCTCCCGCCGAAGGTGGCGGTGCTGGAGGTGCCGGACAGGCGGGTCAAGTGGGTGGCATTCTTGGCGGAGCTGGAGGTGGTGGTGGAGGAGGAGGCGGTGGCAGCGCCGGCGGCGGAGGTGGCGGTGGCGGCGGCGGAGGCGGTGGAACGGCCACATCCGGCCAGAGTGGCGACAACGGACAGCCGGGTGCACCGAGTCCAGCGGGAGCCCAGCCCGATGGAGAGGATGGTGCTGATGGCGCCGATGGACCCGACGGCCCCGATGGCTCAAAGGGTGGAAAGGGTGGCAAGGGCGGCAAAGGAGCGCGCAATGGAGCCGGCGGAGGAGGTGGAGCCGGAGGAGCAGCGCCCCAGCCAGCGCCGGCAGCGATTCCAGTCCAGGCCGTGTTAGTGCCCGCTCCTGTCTGGGCCGATCCGGAGCTGAACGTGGTGTAAGTCTTTAGTTTGTTCGTAAACAGTTACTTTGCTCACGCATTAGGTTTTTATTTCCAGTCATGTTGCGTAGATGGAGGTCGACCTTGTGCCATTTGTGTTAACCCCAACCGGAAGCCATTTGAGTTCCCCTTAGTCTTAACGCTAGTCAATGTTTTCGGAGCTCATACTTACCCTAAGCTAAGGCAAGCGAATATTAAAGTTCGATTACAAACCATCTAATGGCTTTAATTGTTTCACATGTCACCAGCCGGGCAATAAAGGTCACGGGTCACGGGTCAGTTTTCATAATGGAAATGAGACAGGTTTCTAAATTTGAACTGAATGAATATTAAAACAACATCAGCATCTGCCAATTACAGGTCGTGTTGTGCAAAAGCTTTGACAGCAGCTTTCAGATGTCGGGTTTTGGCTTAGAAACCCCGCATAAATTATGCCCGAAAGTAGGCAGTTCCATTTACATATGCTTTTTCCTAGCCGTGTTTCCAGGGGAAAATGCTAATTGCACCGTCAATCAGTTGATGTTAATTTTGAAAATGGAAAAACATCCGAATTTCCCGGGGCCAAAATGCAAATATCCAAATTGATACTCTGCGTCGTGTGTGGGCTGCATTTCTGAATACTTAGGCGGGGAAAAGGTCAAGTGAATTCCACATAAGGCAACTTTGTGGCCTTTCCGGCTACCTTCTAATCATTTTTCTATAGATTTCCCTCAGTTGTCTTTATGGCTTGGAGTTCCGTGTCATTCGGTGAATTTTCCCCCGCTCTTGTACGCTCAGAAGGGCTTCTTATTCCTTTTGTTTCCCCGTTTAGCACATTTCGTGGGAACCGTTGGCAATCGAATTTTCCGCTTTTCACTATCTGGTGTGCAACAATAAGTCTGCATTTTCCGTGTGTGCTTCCACTATTTGGAATGGAGCAGAGAGGAGAGGAGAGTTTTCTTTGAAATCGCATCAAAGTGGATGAGTCCTTGGTGCAGCCGTGACAAAGTATCTGAAAGTACTTATCCCTGGCTTCGTTATTCGCGGACTAAAGTGGATTGCTAAGAAAAAGAATGATCAATGTAAGAGAAAGCCAAGGTTACTGACATCAAAGTATTTACCAAAATTTAAGCATTGAGAGGAAAAAATTTAGAGAAATGTATAGAATTTAATAGATACATCCTTACGGCATATTTTGTTGGTCAACTTTCTTTACTCACCCCCATTAAAGATAAAGCTATTAACTCTGTAATTATTTGAAATATCTGGAACCGCTTTTCATTATTCATTATTTAATTATTGTTCACCTAAAAATCAATAAAATCGTACTACCATTTGAAACTCAAGCTCATCGATTATAAAAAATATACAGGGAAGAATATCTACGGCTTTGATTTATGTTAATTTCTTTATCAATCCTTCAGTATGCTTTGATGCTTCATAACTTATAATTTATTTTACGAAATATCAATTTTATTTTTATCATGAATATCTTAGATACATAATCTATAACATATTCCATGTCGTTCTTAGCAATTCTTGCTTGTCTTGAGTTTGGTACCTCTCACAGCCAGACTGCAACATATACTTTGTTTTAATAACAATTACCAATATATTTCGACACTCCTGGTATTGCAACATGTATTCAAATCAGATCAATTAGGCCATAAATTAACTCCTCAACCATAAATTAAATTGATGCAAAACATAAAAGCCATTTGACCAAAAATATGCAAAATGCACCTCTTGCAACGCCCACAATAAAAATAAAGAAAACCATAACGAAAATAAAGACAACAGCTTGACTAGAGCGATGCCAGAATGCTGGGCCCCAAATCGCTTATGGATTGTGTTCGCTTAAGGCTTGTTTGTTCAACGGCTCCATGGTGCTGCCAAGTCTGGGCCCTGGGCCCTGGGCCCTGGGCGGAGGGCCAAATGCCACACAACTGGCCACAGTTCTGGCCAAAACCGCAACGGCCTGGGATGGAGTTGCCCAACAGCCTGGCATGCAAAATGAATGAAATTCTTCGATTCGAATGAAATTTTGAAAGCTCGGAATGAGAAGTGAGTGCAAATCAGTGCACTTGCGGCACTTGCAACAATAATGTTTGGCCAAAATTAGTTGAGTCCGGGTATGCGGCATGCTGCCGCAATGAATGCGGCCGTTGCACATTCACTTTTGGCAACACCAGACCACGCCCCAGCACTGGTGGTCAGTGGGTATTGACCAGGCCACCGCTACCGTTTTGCTGGGTGCCAAATATTCTTAACCACGGTTAGACAATCGCATGCCGGATAAATCTGACAATTTCGGCTTTTATGCACTGCATTGGCGTGTAATTAAATTAACAGCCGGGTCAGTAACCGAAGCGAAGCCATCGGCCACTCGAGTACCACCTGCCCCCAAGGTCGAATTCGATTCTAGACTGGTTTTTGATCACCTTCATAGAGGGTATTGAAATTTTTTAAAGTCGTTTGTAAAGTAATCATTTTCTTCTCCCATTTATTACAAAGATAAACTTCTATATAATTAATCAATGTGTTGACTTCTTAACAGTCAACAATTTGAGTATTTAAGAGGTTCCTTAAATGGGTATTGAAACTTCCAATCAGAATAAAATCATATAAAATAAATAGAAAAAAATATAAAATAAATACCAAATATATCAACAAAAGTCCCTACAAGAGTACAATAAGCGTTGGCATGTTTGCCAGCGCTATCGTTTTAAAACTGATTCCAGAGTCACTGTTAGCAGACAATTGGCAGTAAATTGAAATGCCAATGCATGTTTAATTTAAAGGCAAGCTCCCAGTAACCAATCCCAAGCAATCCCGAAATTTACGATGCACTGAGAGGATGGGCGAGTCCATGACGTGGGAGAGGTTCCACTGACCTTTTTTTGTGGAAAATTGTAAATAGCCATCGACACCGCCCAACTCGGTTCCCCTGTTTCGTGTCGAACGGTGAATGTGTGACCTTTGCGTGCCAGCCAAGGGTTGTTAATTTTTAATTAGTTGCTCGGCAATGACCAGCCTTGCCGCCCGTTCTCAAGGCCACCGATTGGGCCGAAAGGTTGCACTTGAATTTATGCCGACCCATTGCCCCCCTTTCGATAGGGACTTGACAAATATGGGGCAATCTATTTGGCCTAATTGTATGCCCCGAGCTCCATTCCGCCAATAGTTCGAGTCACCCGGAGTCGAGTGACACATTCCCCGACAACACACACAATTTTGCAAGCGGCTGGGCAAAGAATACAATACTCATACCGCATTGATTGATTGTTTACTCGCTCTCTGTGTCATGCCACATGCAGCTATCCCACTGCCACCACCCACATGCCACCCGGGAATCCAATGCCCTCGCTGTGTGTGCTGTGTGTGAGCGAATGCAAATTTCAATCGTTGCATTGCAAATATTTATGTTCCTTTCAAACGCTTCCCCACTGTCAATGCAGCAGCCAATGTGGTGGTGGTGCTGGTGGTGGTGGTGGTGCTGGTGGTGTTGCTGACTCAGGGGGATGGTACTGGGAATATGTTCTGTGGTTGGGCTTAGAGGGGGCACCATGGGCCAGAGTTTGACGGCCCTAAGGGCAGCAAAGCGGAATGGAATTTGCCAGTGACAGAGGCAAACCTCATAGCAGGATGCCTTTTAATTAATATGACAAAACAATAGGAATAACACAAAAATGCTTTTTGAAGATAAACAAGTGGACGGAACCCAGCATGGAGTGAAGCCAAAAACTTTAATTAAGAGGGACATGGCCTTCCGCAAAAATTGGATAGTTGGGTTAAAATCTATTTACGGCCGCAGACTGCAATCAAAAAGCAATTGAGTTTGGCAATGTCTTTTCATGCATCGTGTAGATCAAATCTAATTCCGATTTTAGCCACGCCTTCTTCCACCGCTGCGCACCGATAAAACAAAGAATTTAATACGACGACCGAGTCACTAATCCCCTGCGATTAAGTAAACTGTTATAATTGTACGAGTTTAGTAGTCATTATATTAAGTTAGGCTCCCCTAACTACTCTGGAAATCACAGTGAATCATTAAAGAAACTTGTATATGTACATATAACTTAGATAGATACTATTTAAAAGTAAAAACAAGAAAGGCAGCAAACTTTGAGAAGGCGAAGCAGGTATACCCTAGAAGTTAGCCATAGGATTAAGTGTTCAAATGAAAAGTCAATTATAACTAACAACGATGCATTAATCTATATTTGGTGTTGGTCTTAAGTATTTCAAAAATATTTAACATATAGTAATAATTGGCTTCTTGGCCTATTCTTACCACTAAGATAGTCGAATATATGTGTATTTTGGGTAAATCCGAGTTTTAAAAATATCATAACTAAGCCAAAAATTCATGAATTCCATTTGGATAACATTTCTGTGCTAGTTTTTATACGGTTAACAAATCTACATACTCAATTTTTTGTAAAATTTTGACAATTTTTCAAATTTTAACAATATATTTTTTTTACCGGACATAGCTAGATTGATTCATGTTTTGATGCTGATCAAGAATATATATGATTCATAGGGTCGGAAAGGACTCCTTCACTGCTTTGCAAGCTTCTAACTTAAATTATAAAAAATATACAAATATGAGAGCATTGAGAATATCAGATAAATCGATGGGAATTACTTAAATAACCATAATTTTGGAACTGATAGTTAAGAGTACGAAATAATACACTCTCAAAATAAACTGCTTCTGTGTTGTAATAGCTAATAAATCAAGCCAAATCACCCATTAAATATTTCACAACGCACCATTTTGTGATCAAATACATTTTTGCAGTTTATTTGTCTGTTTGCAGTTTCATATAAAATATAGATTCATATCTGTTCAGATACATAAAGATTACAACAGTTATTTACAACATACTCGTACAGCGTTTCTCAATCGAAGTAACAGATGAAAATTGGGGGGAAATTAAGAAGTTGGCAGCAGAAAAGAGGCAAGAGATAGGCCAGTTACATGAAAAGGTGAGTAGATGTGTGCTCTGTGACTGGGATCCTCGGATGCCAATCGATCGAAACAGCGGGCAAGGAAGCTATTGTCCTTCCAACAGCTTCAATTTCCCGTGTGTGTAGTTGCTTCAGTTTTCCGTGCGGTGTGTGTAGAGAGTGAAAGATAGTTAGATATAGAATGGGGGGGACAGGAAGAGAGCAAAGTCGGAAATGCTGCTTCAAAGTCGCGCATGATTACGTATACGCCGCGATG